GGAAGAGACTCTGATTCTAGTCAAAGCAATGATTTTCTCAGGAGGTATAATGGATTCTGGTCTGACCTCCTCTTTATCAAGAGTGGCAAACTGTCTGAAAAGAGAATCTGCTTTGGTGTTCCGATTACCCGGTCTATAGGAGATTACATAATTAAAGCGGGAAAGAAAAAGAGCCCAGTGGGCTTGTCTGGGCGAAAGCCTCTTAGCGTCACTCAAATAGTATAAATTCTTATGATCGGTGAGAATCATGATAGGAACCGTAGATCCCTCAAGTAAGTGACGCCATTCCTTGATGGTTGATACTATGGCTAATAATTCTCTATTACCGATATCATAATTCTTTTCAGCAGGTGTCAGTCTACAAGAAAAGAATCCACAAAGATGCAACAGAGCGGTAGGGGATTTCCTCTGGGAAAGGATAGCCCCCACACCGGTCTCGGAGGCATCAACCTCAAGGATGAAGGGTCTAGAGGGGTCTGGATGTACCAGGATGGGAGCTGAGACAAAAGATTTCTTCAAGAGAGTGAAAGAAGATTTGGCCTCCGCAGACCAATTGACATGATTAGCTCCCTTCTTGGTCATAGCTGTGATTGGTGCTAGAATCTGGGAAAAGCCTTTTATAAATTTTCTATAATAGTTAGCGAATCCAATGAACCTCTGTATGGACTTCAAACCAATGGGTAAGGGCCATTCAAGAATAGAAGATAGTTTTTTAGGGTCCATTTGAAATTATATACCCTAAAAACGGAATAGAAGTCTGATCAAACAGACATTTCTCAAGTTTGCCATATAAGCCATTGGCAAGAAGGGTCTGTAATATACTTCTAACTTGTTGGTAATGTATCTGAATATTAGGAGAATGAATAAGAATGTCATCAAGATACACAATAGCGCAAGTGTGCAAATAATTTCGTAAGACATCATTGATAAATTCTTGGAAGACTGCTGGCGCATTACATAGACCAAAGGGCATTACCGTATACTCATAATGACCACTTTGAGTATTAAATGCAGTCATCCATTCGTCTCCCTCTTTAATGCGAACTAGATTGTAGGCTCCTCTAAGGTCTAATTTGGTAAAGACCTTAGAACCACAAAGCCTGTCAAAGAGCTCTGTTATCAGCGGTATAGGATACGTATTTTTTAGAGTTATTTTATTCAGACCCCTGTAATCTATGCAGGGACGCAAATCCCCCTCCTTTTTGGCCACAAAAAAAGAAGCCAGCCCCTGCAGGGGAAGAGGAACGTCTGATAAACCCCTTACTTAGAGATTCTTGTACATATTCCTCCATAACCTTATTTTCATTTTGAGAAAGAGGGTAAACCCTCTCCTTGGGGGGCATGGTTCCAGGGAGGAGTTTGATAGCACAATCATAAGGCCTATGTGGAGGAATATGGTCTGCCTGTATTTTATCAAAGACCTTCACCAGGTCTTGGTACTGAGGCGGTACGTTAGTGGAAAGTGGAAGAGCTGATGGAACATTAAGAGAACAAAGGGGTTTAACCTGACTTAAACATTACAGGAAGTACTCCAAGACAGAATTTGACTTTCTCTCCAGTCAATAACAGGGTTATGATTTTGTAACCATGGAAAACCAAGAACCAAAAGGCAAAAAGGGGAAGAAATGACCTGGAAAGACAACTTCTCTTTATGGGTAGCGCCTATTGATAAAATAACAGTCTTGGTTTGATGCGTAACATAGGGGTCTACCATCTATGGCCTCAAAGGCCAAGGGTGTTTCTTTCTCCTCCAAAGGAAGAGAAAGAGCTGTAGCGAAGGTCTGGTCAATAAAGTTGTCTGCAGATCCAGAGTCAATGAGGGCCATAGTGAGATGACTAACACTTGCCCAGAATAGGGTTACAGGGAATAACACATCTGTATGAATTTGTTTTAGGGGACAGAAACATAACACCCAAGGCCGGTCCCATGAACGAGCTTAGGTGGTAGAGTTTTCCAGACGTGATGGGCAATTGTTACGCAAATGCCCCTTACAACCGCAGTATAGGCACAACCCTTCTCTTCTTCTGTAAGACTTCTCAGCCTCAGAGAGTCTTGTATTACCTAGTTGCATGGGTTCAGAATCAGATTCAGGGGCTGGCAAAGCGTGTAATCCGGTTATCATAGGACAAGGAGTGATTCTTCCTAAAGCCCTTCTTTGTCTATCTATATGAAGATGCTTCAGTCTAACCCGGATATCAATATCTGACATATACTTTATACGGTCTTCTAGGAGTTCTGGTAAATCCCTGGCTGCCACTTCTTCCTGTAAGGACTCATTAAGGCCTTCAAAAAACACAGCTGTTAGAGCACTGTTATTCCAAGTCAATTCAGATGCCAAGGTGCGAAATTCGATAGCATAATCTTCCACTGTTCTAGATCCTAGTTTGATTTTTAACAAGGCTCTGGCTGCTAGTCTCTTTCTGCCTGGGGGATTGAATACATTACGGAGAGTCCTGAGGAACAATTCAAAATTAAAGACAATCACGTCATTATTTTCCCATAAGGGATTTATCCAAGCCAGGGCTCTACCTTCTAATAGGTTCATAATGAATGCAATCTTGGACCTATCAGTAGGGAATGAATCAGGGGCTACTTCAAAATGTACGCCCACCTGGTTCAAAAATCCCCTGCATAATGATGGATCCCCGGAATAACGAGGAGGGGGAGTTAGACGAATAGTTGGAGTGGGATGAGTCGCAGATGGTGGAGCAACAGCACCTTGAGAACTACTGTCCTCTACCTCTGGTTGAAGACACGCAGTCCTGGTGAGGATAGTTTGCAAGGCTTGGGCAAACTGATCCATTCTATGATCTAACCCCTCCATTCTATTTTCATATGCAGCCATTTGTTGGCCCAGGTTTGCAGGGTCCATGGCCCTGTCGTAATGTCAAGGTTATACTCCCCAACACGCAAACCAGAGAACAATAAAGGCGAACACAGATAGACGTATTACCGGACCTTAACGTGGCCGGACTTAACGTAGGAATGAGAGATAAGAATAGTCAAAAACGCCAAGGTCAGGGGTACAGAGATACGGGAAAACGAAATAGACAGAGCCAAGGTCAGGGAGCCAGAAATAAGAATAACCAATAAACAAGCCGAAGTCAGGAACCAGAGAAAAGACAACTACTAAGAACGCACTCTCCGGCTAGAATAAACCACGACAGGGCAAGGAAGTGATGTCAGAAGGAGGTTAATATAGGGCAAGGTGAATGCTTATAGGCAATGACAGAATTGAAGAAGGTATAAATAGATAGTGGTAATAGGCCACTATCTCTTTAAATTTGGAGTCCACGATATCCCTGCTGGCTACCTACTGCGCGCGCACATCCCCGGGCGCTCTCCCAGAGGCGCGCGACGCCCGCCAGCGATCCACACCGCCCGAGACGAGAGGACGGACGGACCGGGACACCAGGTATGACACCAGGCAATTATCCAGATATATCAGCTTATGTAATTTAGAAATAGTAAATCTTAATTAGGAAAGTTAAAATTCTGCATAGGGTAAAAATTCTGGTTAGATTTATGCTTATTGGATGGACATAGGAATGGTCAAATGATCTAGTATGACAAATATTGTATTTGTAAAATTGCAATATAAAAGGATATCTTGTCTATGAGAATTGTAGCCAGCAGTGAATGAGTTAATTCAATGTGATTTGACAGTCAGCCAAAGTTTGTAATGCTTTACGCTGTGCTGCTGTGTTCTGTATTAAGGAATGTTTAGCGACCTAAATTTCAAATTGAAGTGTCCTGTCGTAAATGCCTGTTGAAAACTGCATACATGTCGGTATATAGTTACATAGTTACATAGCTGAAAAGAGACTTGCGTCCATCAAGTTCAGCCTACCTCACATTTGTCTTTTGCTGTTGATCCAAAAGAAGACAAAAAAACCCAGTTTGAAGCACAATTTTGCAACAAGCTAGGAAAAAAATTCCTTCTTGACCCCAGAATGGCAGTCAGATTTATCCTTGGATCAAGCAGTTATTACCCTACATTAAAAGATTATATCCTTGAATATTCTGTTCTTGCAAGTATGCATCTAGTAGCCGTTTGAACATCTGTATGGACTCTGATAAAACCACTTCTTCAGGCAGAGAATTCCACATCCTGATTGTTCTTACAGTAAAAAAACCTTTCCTTTGCCTAAGACGAAATCTTCTTTCTTCCAGTCTAAACGCATGGCCTTGTGTCCTATGTAAAGTCCGGTTTGTGAATAGATTTCCACACAATGGTTTGTATTGGCCCCGAATATATTTGTAATATATATAATGTTGCTAGATTTAACTATCTATAAATTGTGTTAAATCACTGCTATATATTCACTGATTATTGCCATGCATGTTACATATTATCACAATAAATTATATTTTTATAAAGTTTTTGATTAATGTGTGAAATAAAAATCCTCTAATAAAACGTACTCCAGGATCTATGAGAATTAAAATAGTGGGTAATCCTCAGTTTTAAATTAATAATCATGGGGAACCGTGCCCAATATATCAATTTTGATATAATAAAAATGATTAAATTAAGTTTTGATAATTTTTATGAAAATATTTTTAATATTTATCACCCCATAAATATCCGCACATTATGGAATTACATGATTTTATTATGTTTACACATTATATGAAATAGGATAATCTTATCAGTTCTATAGAAATAAAAACAGATTTTAATACATCTTTATTTAATCTGGCCTGGATCGGCTCTGAATACTACAAAGAGTTCATATCCTCAAATAGAGTAGTAAATTATACAATCATGTGCCTGAAAATATTCAAAACGACATTAGGTATATTTAATAAACTAATACTTTCCGCACCAATTGATGTTCTTCAACTCTATATTAATAATATTAATCAAAATGGAAAGAATAGAACATTCAAAAATTAATACAAATTGCTCCCCAGGGGAAAATAAAAATATTTTTATTTTCAGTCTTCATAAAGGGATACAAAAAGGAAGAAGGTAGGGGAACATACATCGTTTGATATTATTTCCCCATGCAAGGGGCGATACATGTACAGTTATGCACAACATTGAGGTTACAGCTTCCATAAATTATCTCGATTATTATTTGTCATAGAGTCTAATTCAGTGTCAGCTTGTGTAACCGATTTACATCGTATGTCCCTTCCCTCTTTAACAGTGCAAAGTGGGAAATATCTGGAAACAACTAGGAAACATCTAGCAAGGGGGGGGGGAGTCGGTCTGCTGCATGCGAATTGTATAGGTGAACTGAGTGGACAATGCACCTGTTATGCGGGTATACCTGTATTCTGCCGCCATATTTCCCATTTTTCCCATGCCATAGACCACATTTTATTTCTGGATCTCATCTTTCTTGTTTCAACTTCGTATTTTTTAGTGGCATCTATTTACCTTAGGCATTGTTGGATGTCCGGTGGGTCTACTTTTAGCCATGCCCTCCCTATTGCCACCAGAGCAGCAATAATGAGATAAGTTAGGAAGGTCTGGTTTTTGGAAGTCTTGTGGTATCACCAGCAGCAAATACGTTTCTGGCGTGTGTGGTAGTATTTTACCTGTGATTGTTTTAATCGTGGTTGAGACATTTCCCCAAAGGGTCTGAAGCTTGGGGCAAGACCACCACATGTGGATCATTGTCCCCAGCCCAGACTGGCATCTCCAACATGACCGAGGTCTATTCCTATCGATTTTATGAAGTTTAGCCGGTACCAGATACATCCTATATAACACTTTTCTACTGATTTCAATGTGTGTGGTGTTTAATGTGAGATTTTTGTGTGCTAAAAATATTTTTGACCATAGATCGTCTGATATGGTTCTGTTTATGTCTTTTTCCCATGCCTTTTTAAAGTTGGGTTCTGGGGATTGATCATATTTTGTGATCAATCGATATAAGGTCGATAGCATCTTGGGAGGAGGTTTGGAGGTTGTACATAGTTTTTCCATCTCTGTCAGCAACGTGCTATGGTTCTGAGGTCTGTTCAGTCCAGAATGTTTCCCTACCCAGGATTTTAATTGCAGGTATGAAAAATAAGCCTTCCCTGGGAGATTGAATTGTTGGGTAAGGGATGGGAAGTCCGCCAAGTGACCACCGGCCGTGATTTGCGATAAGTATGTGACCCCACGTCTGTTCCACAATTTTTAATCGAAGCCGGGGATAAGGACTTTGTATGCTTGAAGTGGCAGAGCTGGGGACACATACAAATCTAAGCAGCCTCTCCCAATGAGCTCATCCCAGGTTTGGAGTGTCGCTACCATTGTCGGACTAGTGTTATTGCGTTTGGGTGTATACTCGTTAGGTAGCCAAGCCAGCGTTGACATTGTAAGCCCCGTCGCCTGAGCAGATTCTATTCGACTCCATGATGGCGGGGTGGTATAGTGAAACGTGTTAATTAGTGTGCTTATAATCGCTGCTTTATAGTATCTTGCTACATTTGGCATCCCCATCCCGCCTTCCTTGAAGGATCTATACATGACCTCAGCCGCTACCCTGGATCGCTTCCCCCCCCAGACAAAGTGGTTTATACAGCGTTGCGACTCTTTAAAAAAAATTTTGGCAATTTTATCTGGAGTGTTCGGAAGAGATATTGCAGTCTGGGTAATACCAGCATTTTAACAGCTGCTATTCTACCCATCCATGAGACATATTTATTTTTCCAACTTTGCAATTGTTGTTGGATTGAATTAAGTAATTTTATGTAATTTGCTTTATATAGTTGGTGTATCTGGGGTGTAAGGTCTATGCCCAGAAAGGTTAAGTGGTTTTGTTTCCAGTCGTATGCATATTTCTTTTCTATGTGCTTAAATTGGGTTTTGTTTATATTTAAGCCCATGACTTGTGTCTTAGCGGCGTTAAGTTTGTAGTATGAGCAGTTGCTAAATTTTGCTAATATACGTTGAAGCATTGGGAGGGATGTCTCCGGCTTGGAGAGGGTGAGCATGACATCGTCAGCGAAGAGGGTGATTGTATGCGTTCTCTCGCCTATATGTATCCCCTGGACATGGTGTAAATTTCTGATATGTTGGGCCAATGGTTCTAACGCTAATATGTAAAGTAGGGGGGATAGTGGGCAGCCCTGCCTAGATCCATTGGAAATACGCAATGTTTGGGATGTGAAGCCCCCGTTGGAGATTTTTGCTTCTGGATTACCATAGAGCACGGATATTAAG